AGCTTGTATTGCTTAAATTCTATGATATGGATGAAGTGGATATTATGCTTGTCCATATTAAGACATAAATATAATGTAGAAAGCAAAATTTTTTGTAATGCAGAAAATGACAGGGGACTGCAAAAAGGACAATGTTTCTCCCTGAAAACAAAGAATCAAGGTGGATGCCAAAATTGACCTTGTTTGTCAAAGAACAAATATAGAAAATGTTTCTAAATACTTTCAAAATGGTTCCAAATACAGTAAACCTGACTGCACATTAAAAGAGCTGGGAATAAGAAAACGTCCAGACATGTACCGGTTTACTTTCTAGCATATAAGAGTACAAATAATGTAAGAGCAAAACAATCTTCTTTCATCTCCTTTACTTTAAATGCTTGAAGGGAATTATTGATTTTGTGCAAATGTAGTGGTCTCCAAATTGATGAACGTACTTCCTAAAAAATGTATTGAGATATATCAACATAATATAATTAATAGGCATACATTGATGAAGTCATTTTAGAATTATATAACTAGTTCAATTATACCTTATTTAAATTGTTGCGCATGTTAATCATGTGAAATGGGCTTCTAATGTTTCAAGTGCTCTAAAAAACATGAGGAGTCATAGAGATGACTGTTTTGAATAAGTTGAGTAGGGTTGGCCTATATTACAACATAATTATATTCTACAAATATAATTAAAGAAATAATTATCATGTTTATTCATTTTGTAGGCACATCTACTTTACCTGTGAATAAGTGTAACAAATATTTTGAGGAACAAAAGCTTGCTCTAGTGTAGTTGAAGCAGCATGTCCTACACCTTTTTGTTTCTTTGCAAAGAACTTAAATTTAGAAACACATAAATAATCTACAGACATGAGACAAGTATTTATAAAATTTATCTCACTTGATTTTGTTTGCTTTTCAAAATGACTTTTTTTTCTACCACTTGCACTCCCTTTTAGCTTTGTGCTTGGTGGATCAAGAATTTGGCCTGCTTGAGATGCATCTCATTTGTTGCCATGAATTTCCTTGTTCACTTCCACATTGTTGCTTTTATTGAAAGCATATAAATGTTCTTGAACTTTTTGGGATCCATTGTTGATAACATCCCACATGATATCTTGTGTCTTCTTGTAGTTATATCACCCAAAACAGTATTAATGCTTTCATTCCTTTGAGAAGATTTTACATTTATAGAAAACTTATCCTTGCCAAAAGTAGTTGACCATTTATGTCGAATTGTGTACATTTTATTCATCCAGCTATGGTCACTCAGTTTAAATGTCTTAATCATTTCATCTCATGTCATTTCAAATTCTTCTTCTGAGTCACACAATTTCATGCACTTTTGAAATAATGATTGAAACTTCTTGTCAGAGTTCAAATGACCTAAATGAGATGGGGCATTTTTAGATATATGCCACAAGCATAAATGATGCCGTGTATCAAGAAATATCTTGTCGATTGCCTTACCCATGGCAGCATCTTGATCAGTGACAATAGTTTTTGGTTGTCGATTCCCATAGATTTTAGAAACTGCTCAAACAACCATTCAAAGGATTCTGCTAATTCATTGATCAGAAAAGCACAACCAAACATTAGATTTTGCCAATGATGATTTATTCCAACAAATGGCCTGCGAATTAAATCATACTTGTTTGTACGATATGTCATATCAAAAACTACTACATTCCCAAAACAATCATAATCAGTCACTAATCTCCCATCCCTCCAAAAAAGACTTGTCAAATGTAATTCTTGATCAAATTGAACACTCTAATAAAACATTGGGTCTTCAACCTGATGACTTTGTAAAAAATTAACTAAACATTTTCCATCTCTAGCTTCTATTAGTTTTAACTTTTGCCTGTTAATATAATGATAGCAATCCTTTTTTGAAAATCCAATATTATCAAAGCCATGTGTTTCTTCACCCAGATAACTCCACACATCTATAGTTCTAATTCCAGCATTTACCATTGAACTAATAAGCTCACCCTTAGCTATAGGACTATCTCTAGCAGAACGCATAAGGTGCCTATGCTCTTGTTTCACAAATCCATGATTATGCTTAGTAATCAATTTAGTGGGCTTCCATAGACCATCTAATTGAGTGGTAAACCGAACCATGGCTTGACAATTTGTCCTTGCATTCATTCTACTAAATGAACTATTGCTACCTTCTTCTAAATATTTAGACCCTTGTTTTGAACACACATAATATTTTGTGTGAATCTTGTTAGTTCCAGCAACATAGGTTTCTTTTGATTTTCTCACAAAAAAACATGACTGATGCACATATTTTGTATATAACACATAAGTCTCATTTTCATTATTTATAGTTTGGCCTAAATAAACATTTTCAATACCACCATTATACATATTTGCAGAGCCAAAATTAGTCATAAAATTTTCTTCTCCTCTCGTATCTGACTTTGACTCATTTGCTATTTTCATTCTGTATAATATTAAAACTAATTAAAAATCTATGAAAAATTAAAATAATCTTAAATAAAAGTTCATAAACTGAATAGAAAATTGATGGGCGCACGACAAATGCATGAACCAAATACGTTCATTCACAAAATGTATTATAAATGAAAAAAAAAAACAAATATGATGCATATATATAGACCAATTCATTAACTAATCATACATTTACTCAAAAATTGAAATTGTATTCCAATGACTTTTGGAACCTCGATTTCAGTAGCAGCAGAGTTGGTTCCTCCAACAATTGTTTTCTCTCATAAATTGAAATTGTAATCCAACACCTTTTATTCGGAAGGTTGATTTCAATAGCTTCAAAGTTGGTAGCAGCAAATGATTATTTTCTCAGAATGATGTTAGGCGGCAAGATGGGTGACAAGGTATATAGAGGGAGAGGAGCATCAGCGCGGGAAAGGGTTTTGTGAATTCTTTTTATAAATTTTTTTTGTTTTTTCCTCATACAAAAAATGCCACGTCACATTAAAATAGAGTTGTTGGCATGTGGTTGGTTAGACCACAAGTGACGTGGCGCACCAGGTTCCTGCGAGAATTTCTCTTGGATTGTATTCTCTCCGGGAGATGGGACAAAAGGGCTTAAGTTTGGATTGTAGGCCTTGTAACTTAACTCATGGGCTCAATTATTTCTCGACGCAGACTGAGGCCCAACAATTTGATCAGTTCTTGGAAATTTCAAAACGGACAATGACAGGCTTCTTGACCGAAGACCAAACGAACATTGACCTCGCCGGTTTCGTGGAAAAGATCAAAAGATTGGGTCAAACATGGGCAAGGTTAAATTTGAGAGCTTAATTGTTGTTATTATTCAATTACTCTTTTAATTCTATTTATAAAACATTTTCAACATATTTCACATAAGATAAGAAAAATTTTAAACTGTATTCTCTCAATTAAAACATAATAACTTTCCGACTTTATTCTTATTTATCATGTACACCTTAAAAGAATAACCTATCTGCATGATAATAAATGAGGACAAAATAATATATTCATGTTAAAAATTTAATGAAAATACTTATAATTATAAATAGGACAAAAAGAAATTTTATCTTTCTGTCTTATAAATCGGAGCAGAGGAGTATTCAACCATTGTATTTAATGTATTAAGGCAATGCCATTAAATGATCTTAAGGGTTCGGTCAATGGAGCTTATGTCAGCTTTTACTCATAAATTAATTAGTTAACTGGTAATCAACGCATAAGTCAAATTACCTGTACTGCTATACTTGGAATCTTGGTCGGTGTTAAAAATATTCAACAAATGCGTGACCCATGCGGAGAAAATAAAAAAAAAAAAAATTTAAGGACATGAAATGGTAGTGAGACGGACTTTGTCAACCACGGGGAGCTCCGATTGACTTCTCTTTACCCTTTTACAAATTTTAAACAATGGTGTTTCTTGTGGGAAGTCTTGATTTCACGGAGATTTCTTCCACCTGTTTTTTTTTTTCCCTCAACAACACACATAGTATATCTTCTATAAATACAGGCGTAGTCGCCACCGCAACATCTAATACCAAGCTCAACTTCTTTCATGGCAATGCCCAGCATCTTCTTTTACAAAATTCAATGATTCTTCTTTTATTTTTTTATTTTCATAATTTTTAAATTGTTACTTGTGAGAGAATTGTGTAGAGAGGCAGTACTCATTATGCATATCTATAATCTCTATATAATAGTGCTACGGAGACACACACGTCTTTATTTCAAAATTTAAGTCAAAATATCTGATTTCTCAAAAAAAATATTTAAATCTGGGGACTACTTCCCGCTTATTCGATTTTTCTTCATTAACATAAAAACAGCACACACAAAAAAGCGAGACACACACGCACACAGCCGGATATAGCAGCACAATATATTTCTTTTTTCTTCTCTTCGGGTGCAAGTTTGTCATGTCTATTCTTTTCAAGTGAAAAATAAGTAATATCAAATCATTATATCTCGTCTCCTCCAAATCATGGGAGCCTATATCTCTTCAAGCTAGACTTGGGTTCAAGTTCATCAACCAGAGTGTGGCTGCAGAATACAGACCATAAGACCATCCTAAGACATAGTTAAGTTCAAAGACTAGAAAAAAAAATAGTATGCGCAGTTACAACCATTATGATCAACATAAAATGATAACCAATCTGGGCAATTTATTTAAGTCCCGTTTGGTATGAAGCATTGAAAATGAGGGATTGGGATTGGGATTGCAATTGAAAAAAATCATTAAAATAGTACTTAGCATGAGTAATTGTTTGTTATATGGGATGAGACAAACTCATAAAGGTGGGATTGGAGAATACCACTTCTCCCCATGGTATTCTCCAATCCCACATACATGGCTTTGGCTAATCCTATATATCAAACAATTTCTTATACTAAACACTTTCTTAATAGATTTTTCAATTGTAATCTCAATCCCAATCCCTCATTTTCAATGCTCCCTACCAAATGTAACCTTAAGGTAATAATGACTACCATAAAACTACATACGGCTTCCATCGTTGCGACACTCAAACGTGCGTGTAGAATGAAGGCGGCTGTGGATTCGGAATGTCAACGAAGCCTTTTAACATTTGCGTCACTGTCTGCATGGTAGGCCTCACTTCAGGATTCTCTTGGATGCACAACAGCGCTATCATCACCCACTTCTTCAACCTTCTGTCGGCCATGGCCTCCTCAACGTTCTTTACGAGAATGTCTATTCTGCCCTCCACATAGCAATCATAAGCCCAGTCTGTCAGTATTGCCTCTCCTTCCTCCTCTTTATCCATATCCATTTCCACATTTCTTCTGCAACAAATCATCTCTAGCAGCATCACACCATAGCTGTAGACATCAACCTTGGGAGTTACAGGAACATTTTTGAACCATTCTGGTGCTACATATCCTCTAGTTCCTCTTATCATTGTCTGGGTTCGACTCTGATCAAAAGATAACAACTTGGCGAGCCCAAAATCTGAGATTTTTGCCCTCAGATGTGCATCTATCAGTATATTTTGAGGTTTAATATCGCAATGGATGACAGGAGTGTCGCACTCTTCATGTAAGTAAAGCAAACCTCTTGCAATTCCCAAAGCAAGGTTAACCCTTAAATTCCACTCAGGTTTGAATTTTCCAAAGAGAATATCTGCGAGAGTACCATTGCTCATGAACTCGTACACCAGAAGTCTATGAACTCCCTCGTCACAGAACCCAATCAGCCGAACCAGATTTTTGTGGCATGTGTTTCCAATAGCACTCAACTCATTCCTAAATTCCTTCTCTCGTTCTTGAGCCAATCTGTCTAATCTTTTCACTGCAACAACAGTATTTGTTACTGATTTGAGGACGCCTTTGTACACAATGCCAAAGGAACCTCTTCCTACTTCTTCGTTGAACTCATTTGTTGCCTCCTTCAGTACTTCATATGAGAAAGAATGCATATTTGTTTCGACAAGGCTTGTAACACGAGTAGTCTTTTTGGGCTTTAAGAGAATGATCGAAACCAAAGCTGCTATGAATAGAGTACTTAGAACAAGGGAGCCAATAAGCAACCCTAACAAAGTAGGTTGGACCCGATATTCCTTTTGCGGAGAAGGATTGAGATTACCCAGTGCTTGAATTCTTATTTTCAAGATTGCTATTGTTCCAACCTCACTTATAGAGAATCTTCCGTTAGAAACGGGTAATCTTTTCTTCCAACAATCCGCTCGAGCATTAGAGATGGCAACTGCACAATTACAATCATGCAAGCAAGATTTTATACATTCATCATTGGTATAATTGATCAACCTTTCATAATCTCCAAGAGACCAAACCACACTTTGCAAAGTCTCCATATGATATACCTCTTCTGGATTCTCTCGTGATCGAGCATCATCAGCTCCACAACCAAGGGAAAACCGAGGTTGGCATCCTCCAAATTTGTCGTTTGGATCTACCAAGAAATATCCTTTTGGACACGTACAAGTTGGCCTCTTGTTGACGTCATCCCAGGAGCAGTAGCTATTGTAGCCACAGCAGCCACTACCCATATTACTAAACATTGCAGTACAAATGTTATCAGGAACGTACCCCTCAATTGACCAAACTTGATCTTCGTTGGAGTCCTTGGGATGGGAATACAACGAGAAAACTCCATAAGGATCAAGTGTAGCCCTGTAATAATATGTTCTAATAGAAAGACTGGACTCACTCAACCCAAGAGCTATTTGATCTCCACTCTTTGTCTTCACATAAATATATCCCGACGAATTGAAGACTAATTGTGAGGCAGAGTCATTAGAACTCGTGCTAATACTCAAATATTTGTCATAATGAAAGTCAGATGGCCACCCAATTTGACTTAAGGAGAGATTTCCATTGTCAAAATAAAGCTCAAATCTTCCCTTTGTGTGATTGACCGACGACAATCGAGAAGATAACTTACTGTTCACATCCAAAGTTTGTGCAGGTAAGAGCGTGTCGGTGGGACTGTCAAAACTTTGCCACAAATAAGAACTAGAGGATGCCAGAACAAAATTTCCGGTATCAAGCATTGCTCCGTAGGACACATCTTCTTCTGGTTCGATTGCCCACATCACTTGACCTCGGGGGTTAGTAAGTGTGAGACCCGTTGATGTGAGCTGAACCCTCGATCCCAGTGGTACTGGATCTGCGATGTCTGCACTCCAGACAACAGTCTTGGCAGGTATTTTGTCGAACCAGATGGCAAGCAAGAAGAGCCTGGTGCTGTTGTTGATTGGATGAAATCCGAAAGCAAACTCTTTGGACGATGAGAGCCATGAAGAGTTATGATCACTGGCGTAGAGAGTTGAACTCAAAGTGACGTTTCCGAAAGCCAAATAAAGAGGAAGCAAGAGAAGGACGGTGAAGATGTTGGGTATGGCCATGAAAGAGAGTGAGCTTTAGAATTAGCGTTAGAGAAAAATAGAAAATAGGATATCTGAGTATTTGTGAGCACTAGGGATAAGTAATGACCTTTCACGTGTGAGGCTGATTTTTCATTCTTTTCCTCTGCTGCAAATTAGAGCACGGCCACATCTCGTTGTACAGTGATTATACTGACTTGTTCTTATTTTGATTCAATCCACTTTGTTTCTCAAAGCAGAGGAAGAAGGGTGGCAGCTGGTACCACGAGCCCTCTGTCCCACACATCTATCCAGAAGCAAGTGTAGTTCACCGGTTATTTTTTTTGTATCCGCTTAAAGAAGGAAGTTTCCCCTTCGGCTAGAACAAGAAGCCTCTGTTTTTATTTGCTTTTCGTTCTGTCAGAAGTTGAGGGAAGAGATAGGGAGGAAGGGGGCGCTTGGAGGGCAATCAACATGAGAGAAGGTACGTCGTACCAGGCCAACTGTCTGTACGTATGTCGGCCGGAGACCACACTGGGATTGGTTTATACTTGGTGGTGCGTAAAGCAAAGCATGGGTGAGGCGTTGGCCACTATTTTAACGTTGAAAAATGAATTGGATTGATAGGAAAGAATAGAAAAGCTCACAGCAGAGCTGACGCTGTTAAAAGTAGAAAGCGTTAAAGTGACAGGTGAGTTGGAAAAATTAAACAAATGACACGGATTAAGAGGAAAATAGCACACAAGAGATATATGCCACCGTATCTTCTGCAAATTATACCATAGAGCAAATGAAGTGTGCCGTTTCGCACGTAACATAATATGGTATTACCAGATGGTCCGCGTGAATTATTGACGAAGTGAAGCACACTAATCAACTCAACAATAATACATTGAATCTTAGAGAATAATAACCAATGCCGAACATGACGTGTGGATCTTCTTTACTCATTGTTGACTCTGTCGATAATTATCTCCATCAACGTCATTATTTATGTGCCTAATGCCGAATCAAGCCGACTTCTATCTACTGGGGATAAGCTGGCATTAAGTCATTCTATCATAATTAATACTACTTTCGGTGTTTAATATAAAAATTTTGTTTGACTTTTATTTTAATTCTAAATATAAGACTCTAATTCATTTTGTTTTTTATATTTATCTTTTTTTTGAAATAGTTTTTATAATAATAATAATAATTCTAACCAATACGCTTGATTAATATTAATATTTTAAGAAAAACAATACCTATTTATTACAAATAACTAACTTAACTAATTTTTTTAATATGTAGAAAAATATCTTTATCAATGTGATATAAATGTTCCCATATCTGCTATTTAGGACAGGGGATTGTTTATAATATTTGATCTTAAATAAGTAAACATAAAGTTATTGAATAGGCAAATTTATTTCATGGTAATTACAATACCATTGTTTGTACATGGAATGTATATAATATGTTATGTTGATGCTTTCGTAACGGAGGTTACAATGAATTGAAACTAATCATTACGTTAAAGCAAATTCTTTTCCTGCATTAAAGTAAGATTTTTCTCCTGCATCATAGGGGAGAGTAAATTCTAGTTAAAACAATACAAAAACAATGAGATAAAATAGAATTGCTTTAAGTGTATATATTTATCCCCATAAATTTTAATCTTCAGAAATTTTTTAAGAATATGCATACTTAATTTAATTTCTTCAAAGTTATTATTACTATTCCAAAAATTATTGAATTACTTGATATATATATATAAGATTAATTAAATGACAATAAATAATAATTTATTATACTCAATGCTTGCGTTTAGCTTAAGCCTTTTTTTTTTTTTTTAACCAGCGTTTAGCTTAAGCTTAGTACAAATGTACAATAGTAGATCATAATTTGAACTGAGATCCATGTGCAGCACAGTGAATATTCACGTGCCCTGATTGTGCTGATGACTTTTCATTGTCAAGGAGAGGGGCTCAGTGCCTGACACGTAAGCAAATCAATCGGCGGGTGGTCTGGGACACGCACGTACATGTTTCTTGCATCTTCATCCCTTCACTCGTGTGTCTCTCCCCATAAAGCCACCGTTCCTCCGCCTCCTTTCTCAACTTCTGATTCTAAAGCTCACTTGCTTTCATGTCTATTCCCAGTATATCTCTATTCTTCTTCGCCCTTTTCTTGCTTCAACTTCACTTGGCTTTTAGGAAACATGGTTTTGAACCCAAATTTCTCCACCAACGATGAAAATGCCTTATGGCTCTTCTCTTCTGGGGAATTCGCTTTAGGATTTCGTCCAATCAACAACACAAATCTCTTTTTGCTTCCCAACACCTGACAAAACCATTGTCTGGAGTGCAAAGATGTCAAATCCAGCAGTACCATATATGAGGATCGCGTGTTCAGCTCATCACCCGAACGCGTCTCAGACTCACTAGCCCCCACGGTTAGTCTATATGGACAACTGAACTACGTACAACAAGATGCGTCCTATATACATGCAGAACTGCGTAACTTTGGAAATTTTGTTCCGGCGGCATCCTCAAATTCTTCTTATTTGTGGCAAAGTGTTAACATTCTGTCATGATAGAGAACGCAAAATATAACACAGCAACAATAAACGGTCAGCTCTGAATATAAACGTATATATATCGATGCAAATATGAACCAGATACAGAGCTTACTTACTTGAATCAAATGGGTAAAAAGTCACAGCTATAGGAATATAATGAACAGAGAGAGCAGAAAAAAGATAGCATAGAGTATAGTGAGAGAGGTCATAGAGAATCTTGCAGAAGGAATGATAGCCAAATCATCTCTCTCCCCTCCTCCAACCACTTCTGTTGTTATACAGCTGCCCTCTGCTTTCGTCCAATTCCCTACTGAGGGAAATGAAGGAAAAGGGAGGTGAGGGTAAGCCCATTAAGACAGCTGCCCCTGCTTTCGTCCAATTCCCTAATGAGGGTAAGCTCATTCGTCCATTTCTCACCTCTCCTTCAACTTTTTCAATTTTTCAGATTGAGCCTCCTCCCTTACCCTCCAATTCCCTCGTGCCGGGTAAATAGAGGGTAAGCTTCCAAATCTTCTTTCACGCTCCCGCTTAGCATATTGGACCTACCATCATCCCTTGGGCCATGATTTAACCAGCCCATATCATCTTCGACTGTTAGACAATCCCATCGACATGCTCTTGCCCACACGAACTTTGGATATGAACAGTACCTTGTCTTGTCGATTAATTGACAGAAACCAATCAAGAAGAGGCGTATAGATAAGGCCTACACAAATGTTAATGGGCCTCTTGGAGATTATGAGAGGCTGCTCAATCACACAGACGCCGAATGGAGAAGATCATGTTGCTTAATTAATTGATCTTAATTGTGCAGTTGCTATTTTTAACAATGGAGGTATGTGTTGGCAGAAAAGACTACCCCTTTCTAATAGATGGTATCTTATCACTAAGGTTGATGGAACGACAGCTTTGGTGAAAATAAGGCTTCCACCATTGGGTAACAATAATCCCTCTATAATGAAAAGGGAAGATCGGGCCCATTGCGGATTGCTTATTGGCTCCCCTGTCATTAATACTTTTCTTCGTATAGCCACAATTTTTCCAATTGTCCTCTTAAAAAAGGCTGCTCAAGTTTCAAGTCTTGTTGAAACAAATGTGCGCAAAGAACTGGAGGAGGCAACATATGGGTTCAATGAAGAGGTAGGAAGGGGCTCATTTGGCATTGTGTATAAATGCACCCTCAGCTCAACAACAAATAATACTGTTGTTGCGGTGAAGGGATTGATCATAGAATAACGCAAAAATGTGAGAAGGATAATTATATGCCTTTGTATATTTGGGTTTTTTTTTATGGTCTGTCGTTTTAAAAAAAAAGTGTGGCATTTTGCGCAGAATACATTTGTTAATAATTTTGAGGAGATTAAGAAAACTAAATAAATTACTTTAAAGTATTTTTTTTTTAAAGCTAACTTGCCTAATTTATAAGCTGGTATATAATCTAATTATACACATAAATATTTTATAGAGATCATATAACATATATCATATTAAGTAATTTATTTACTCTCTTTAATCTCTCTAAATTAATGAACCGAGTCTTGTATATACTATTGAAGAGTTAAGCCCGGCTTCGTTAACATGTACAGATCATCACCTCAATGATAATACTTTTTTTTTTTTT